GAAACGAAGGGGCCCCATGTCTGTACTGCGTACAGTACAACCTACTAGGCCTGGCCCAAGCAATTCCACACAGCAGCAAAGTCCATCGGCCTGGACTAACTCGAGAAAAGGAAAGTGTCGACGTTAGCGATCTGATGCATCGTATAGCCGCCGAGGTTTCTCCCACATCTCGCACAAAAAACAAACGCTCGATCTTTTCTTCCCCAGTTCTCCAAATTATGTATCTAGGTTTTCTATAGTTCTTCTCCAATGCCCCAGCCGGCCAAAACGGAAATTACTCCTTACTCTCCAAGTACTCAAGATCTAGCAATCAAAAGGAACACGGCACCGGTGCTCTCCCAGAAGTTCTGCTCGATGGATCCAGTACAAAATCGATCTAGGTTTGTCAAATATGTTCTTTCTTTACCTAGCATGTACTCAAACGAAAACCTTTGTTCCCATGTATTTATTAAAAACAAGAAAAGCACCATATGTATTCATAGATTATTTTCGAATGAAGAACCGTAGGTGGTGTATACCCATTGGTAATTTTGGATTTTATTAATTAGACTCCTTGACATCAAATGATAAGCTTTCTTGATCGGCTCTTGTAAGGATTTAGATACATGTGTTTGCTTTTACAAAAGCTGCTACAATGCATATATATTTTGATCCTTAAATTTAAATTTATCCAAATGTAGATAAAAATTTCATTGTTTTGTCCAAAACAGATTTCGAAATTTACAAAGTTTTGAAAATTTCCTATGTTTCGAGGTTCATTGAAATTTTCTTGCTATCAAAATTCGAAACCTGGGCGCCACGTCGAGCGCACGGGATGACAGTTGAGCTAGGTGTGGGTGTGCGCGAGTTCACGTCTGTCGTGACCGGCACAGAGATGACGGAGCAGGGTAAGTGCACTAGCTTCTGTGTTGCCGGTGGCGCCCCTCCACATTGTTGAGAGAAACAACTGGTCATGGTTGACCTGTCACCGGATGTGCCGTACAGCTAGCAGTCCCCGTGGCGACGGACTATCGTCCGTCACGTAGAACAACATGACGGCCACCTCGCAGTTCGAGATGTACGTCATCAACTTCGCCCTCGACGAGCACGATGGCCCCAAGATGCCGACCACCTTTAACATCAGTGTGCCGGGCTACACCTGCATCAACGCCACTAATGTGTCGGTGATGAGGTCCAAGGTCGACGAGCAGTGACATGAACAAGTTCTGCATAAGCATTTTATTCTTTCTTCTTGCCAATGATCCACTGTCTTGTGACACGATGGAATCTAGTGGTGTGGCACCCTAACCCCCGGAGCCTAACGTAGCTCTTCAGTTTCACCTACCATCCCCTCATCCAGTACAACACTATCAGTAAGCACACTAGCTGTGGAGATTCACTAGGGCCAAGGGGGGCTATGGCCCCCATACCCTAGAGAAATTATGTGAAATATTGTGGTTTGAAGATTACCATTTTTTAAGTTGAATTTGTCCTTTTAGGCCCCTTAACTCCGCTTTTCCCCCTCAACTGTCTCTGTCTAGCTCCGTCACTGAAGCACACAATCTTCGACATGGCTAACTAGCACTGTAATACTTGTTTACAAAGCAAGAGTGAGTAAGAATGTGTGGTTTGCAAAACAGAAATAGAAATCAA